ATTCATATATTTATATATTATTATTTATTATTATATTACCTTAACAATATATTATATAATATATTAACAACATATTAAATATTATTGTTTAATATATTATTACATTATTATTGTATAGGATATTTTAATTATTAATATATTTTAAATTTTATTTATAATATAATATAACATAATATACTAAGCATGATGATAATAAATTACTATTAATTATACTTAATATATTATGCTAGATATTATATTAACACACCCTAAACCAAAACAACAAACTCAAAACACATTTTAAACACCTAAAAGGTGTTTTAAAATAAGTGTTGTGTTTTTTATTTAAGGGTGTTTTAGCTCAAAAAACACCATGCTTTTCAAACGCATTGTGTTTTGTTTTTGGCAAAAAACACCATGGAAATAAGAAAAACACCATGGTATCCAGGAACTACCTAAATTAAGCATATCTGTTTTTACTAGATGAGATCAGTTTTATATCTTTCCTAGTTGCCACAACGCTATTGAAACCAGGTCCAACTTTGACAACGCACGTCCATTATAAAATGGTTAAGTAAATGATGCAAGTTATGATATGTACACTCAGGGTCGAAGCTAGGAGAGTTATCCAAACACTAAATTGTATCATAATATAGCTTTCAAAGTATGAAATACTAGAACTAATTAGAGTATTAGTACAGAAAAGAATGATAATTAAACATAAATATCATATGTAGAAGAAATTAGGAGTAAGTAGTTTCATACTGTTTGAAGAAGAAGAAACTATATGATTCAGATTCAAGTAAGGGATGGGCTAGATAAACCATGGATTTATATGGGCACTGAATATTCATCAACTTAATTTTGGGTCAGAAAGGGATGGGCTAGATAAACCATGGATTTATATGGGCACTGAATATTCATCAACTTAATTTTGGGTCAGACTTGCTGAAATTTACTTTATAGTCGATTTATATGGGCACTGAATATTCATCAACTTAATTTTGGGTCAGACTTGCTGAAATTTACTTTATAGTCGCACAAGAAAATACAAATCTTAGTTAAACATCAAATAATATTTAGACTAAGCTAATGTTGCATTGTAATGAGATGAAGGGTTTCCAACCAAGACATTAACATTATGGCAATGTTTAGAAGATAAGGATGGTTGATACGTCAGTCTTAGTTTAAGCAAAACAACTGAAATGCCAAAACAATTCCCACGAAAAATAGATCTTTCACAAGAAATAGATCATGTTTTAAGTATTTGAATTTTGAAGAATGACCATGAAATAGTCTGTGTAGGATCTAAAAGTTCAGTTTCCATCTTTCCTAGCACTGATGAAGATACTTACAAGGTGTACAAAATTTTATTGACTCAGAATACTACAGGAATGCCTTATTATGCACTGAAGCAAGCAAGCAACCACAAAATCAATACATCATGTAACACTAATACAAGTAAAAAAATGTTAAAGAAAAACGGATGACTCATTACATCCAGGTCAAAGCTGTTGTTATTGTTTACACAGAGCAAAAGTTTATACTTAGTGTTCCATGAAAGCATTTGTCCGCCTATCTTTTGACTCATTCACCTGTCCAAAGATAAAATTGGCTTGATCAATGTGCTACTTGCTATGGTTACCTTGAACTGAGGGACCCTTAATAATAATGAGGGATGGAGGACCTTTGATTGAATGAATACACACACAGACACGTGCACCCCCCCCACACACACACACACGAGTCACAGAGAAAAACCCAAAACTAATGAATTACAACTTGTGAGTAGTGACCCAGTTTGATCGGGATTAAAGGCCCATACAAGATCATGCTCATCAACCTCAGACCAAGAAGTCTCAAGAAATTTTGTTTAAGCAAATTATTAAACTGAGAAAATTGTATAAAATAAAATCAACTTGACACAAAACTTTAATTGCCCTAGACTACATCCTATCATCACTACTGAAGGAGATAATTAGGCATCTAAATGCTGCCTTCCCCATGTTAGATGTTAAATACATACAAAATAATATACAAAAAGTACTCAAAACTTTGAATTCTAAAGACTACACTAGTTTTTTCTTTACAAAAAAGGGCAAGCTTGGGGACACTAATGTTTATAAATAGACCGGATCCATTTTTTTGACCTTAAACTCCCATCACGTAAAAAAATCAAATCTATTTGAAAAGCCTGTCCAAGATGCAAATTACAAAACAACGGACTACTATGGACTTGACCCATTGAAACCTCTTTAACACTTGGCTACCTTTGCAAGTCATCTAAGTCCTAGAATGTCAGTATGGCAATGTCTAGGTGATCTGAAACTCCTAATTAGATTATGAAAATATCGAATAGGAACTCTATATTTCTAAATATGCTAAAAAGTTCTAAGAATTGAAATTCCTCGCCAAGTAATGTAAACAGAAAATAGACCTCTATGAACTTAGAAAAAAAATCTTTTCCTCCGATATAAAAACCCTACTGTAACACTATCACCCACTGAACTGGCAGCAGTATAGGGGGATGCAAGGTGAAATTGTCAATGTAATAGTCTATAATCGTAAGAAAGCTTACTAAAAGGCTGGACATTAAAATTGAGGTGTTGAATACACATTTGCTCCAAGAAGGATATAAAGTCCATAGAAAAGGAAGAAAGGACTACCAAATCTGGCCCACTTTGCCTTAATCATGCGAGGATAGGTAGATTATTACGTTTAATTGGGTAGCAAGTACTTATAATTGGTGCAATATTCACCAAAAGACATGAAAAACTTCATATTGATGTGTAATAGGCTCGAAGGTTTGCTAGTGAAGTATCAAACAAGGAGTTCACATTAGTACAAGAAAAACTTGAGCTATAGAAGTCCACAGAATATACACTTCAATTAAAAACTAAACTCAAGTGTAGTCACGAGTTCACCAGGATAATAGTACAAAGGACAGTAATAAGGGAAGGGAAGTGCTATAAGTCTACTAGAATGCTATCACACACTGGCCTGGAAGTGATATAGAAGGATTCAAGGCAAAAATTGACAATCTAATGGTCTATAAACATGGGAACTGGGAGGTATTATTAAAAGTCTGGACAATAGATTTGGGGTGTTAAGTTCACAATTTCTCCAAGAAGGATATAAACTCCGCAGTAAAGGAGGAGAGGATTATCAAGTCTAGCTTGTTTTGCTCTTAATCACGTAAATATACATAGGGTAAGTGTGCTGTATGCTTAATACACATGGAAGTCCACCACTAGAACAAGATAACCTTGAGCTAGATAAGTGCAAAGAAACATATAGTGAAACTCGAAGCAAAACTCAAGTGGATCAGCGATAGTTCTTCATGAAAATAGGACTAAAGAAACAATTAAGAGCAGTGAAGTGCATCAAGCTATGAGGAGACCAGCCATCAGCTCAAAGTGGAGTTCTAGCAGAACACAATGTGCACTCACTCAATCCAAGCTGAGTTCACAAAAAAAGCAGCAAAAAAAAACAAAAGAATTAGATTTATGCGGCAGCCAGGTAGTCTAATTCCTCTATGCTAAGGGATTAAGATTTTTTTTTTGCAATTAAATTACTAATTTCATGGCAGAAACCGCCCACATACAACTGATTACTGATTCAAGATCCTTGTTTTTTCGGGGAACAAGTATGATAACTACACAGCTACTATGATTAACAATAGAAAATAACATGCTTTTCCATGTAATGTCTTCACTTTTATCACAATTATATTATAAACCAAAGAAAAACACAATTAATCTTACACTGATCCCCAGCGAAGGCTATAATGCCGCCACGCAAGCCGATATGGAAGCTAATGTATATCTCAAAGCTGATCCGAGTTCCCCAGTGGACGAGGGGTGGAAGTGACTGTATGGTATAGTAATCAGCATGCATGGATCTATCACACTCAGCAATACTGCCATCAGATTAAATATATTGATTAACGCTTCGCAATGTGACAAGATATAAGACGGACAGAAATTAGATAGAGGAAGAAAATATGAGAGCATTATCAATAAAATAACATGCATAATCTCTATTGTTCGTATCCGTCACGTGCCACATAAAGTTGTTTCACCGGACTTATTCTTCTATGACCGCGGATGCGCTCTCGCGCTCCTCGTCCTCGTGGCTGACAGGGACTGTGTAATGGCTAATTTAGATGGACGTACTTGATCGATGTTCCGCTCTTGAGAGCGCACTTCGCCGCGCCGCCATCTGCTTGTTTACAGAGAGATAAACTTAGAGGAGACAAAGAGGTTTTCTCTGAGGGCGAGGGTTTTGGGATCGCAATTAAGCGCTTCAACTGGAACCAAGCTCTTCGTCTTCCCATTTTTTTTCTGCTCTTGAGAAGAGAACAGAGAAACAACTCGAAAGGCCAAAACCCTGAATTTTTTTTTTCCCTTCTTCGGGGTTGAAAAGAGGCCGTTCGTTAGAACTGGATCCTGCGGTAGTGGGGAGCTGAAGGGTGGGGCCCATCTAGATGGGGTGTTTCTAGGGTGAGCCTCTGGTTTACATCTCCCGCGGAACGCTCCACACTACTGGGGTTTTATCATATGAGACTTTCGAAAGACAAATTTTTGAAAACAACAGTTTTTCAACCTTATTGAGCAAAATCGATTATTTCAAAAAATAAATAGCAAAATCGATTCTTTTTATCTGAAAAGGATCGATTTTGTTATGGGTAAGTTTTCGAAATACACGGGACTACTAGTCATGTGTAGTTAAAGCATGTTAATCTAGGATTAGCATGTCAAAACCAAATGGACGAGACTAGTGGTCCTGTCCATTTGGTAACCACCCGTGAGCCTTAAACACATCTCGCACCTGTGACCCCTGACCCCTCCTCTTAAATCCAAATCCTCCCAACCCCCTCCTCCCCAAATCTCGCGACCTGACGCCACTCTCTCCCCCCTCCCCTCATATCCTCACAGCCCCCTCCCCTCTTTCCTCCCCATAATCTCACGACCCCCCTCCCTCTTTCCTCCCCTCAAAAACACATCTCGCACCCGCTCGGACCCTGTTTCGCTACCCCTCAAAAGCAGATCTTGTGACCCCCACGACAGATCTCGCGACCCCCGCCGACCGACTGCCCGCGACGACAGAGGCATCGCTTCGGACCCGCTCGCGACCTTAGTCGTCCTGACGCACACATCAGATTTCCAATCAATGTAAAAAATTTTGTTATTTTCTTGTGAATTGATGATTGATATGTAAAATTTTTTAGTGTTTATTTCGTAAATATGCATGAATAATTATAAATTTGGAGTTCAAGTTAGGCTTTAACCATTGATTTGGCGGTCCAAGCTGAGATTAGGGTTCTAAGATTTGATTTTCCAATGTAAGATAATTATTTTTAGTTATAATATAAATTATTTTCAATATGACCACCGTTGATTTCAATTTCGATGGAGCAACTCTATACGCGCCATTATTTGCCTTCTTCAATGGAGCCTCCGCGTCGGAGTGATAGTAGCCTTACGTATGAGGGAGGCTCTAGGAATGTTTATCTATCGTAAGTCAGGGTAATTTTGATGCGTAAATATAAGAAAATACAACATAGTTAACTAAAATTAATAAGTAGAGCATGCAATCTAACGTGTTCTTCACTGTGCAATAATATGAGAGCTTAGAACCCGTTGGAATTACTAGACGATGAGATGAATGACAGAAAAATTAGTCCAGCGAAGCAAAGTATCCCAAGTTGAGTTGTTCAGTTGAGAAGTATCTGATTCACGAATTTGTTCAAGTTTCCGCGACCTTAAGCGAGAGTTCTCCGTGGTATGCTTCTTAGACAATGAATCGAGTGTTTTATGAACTCTACAAGTCAAGGAGCTGTGGTCTCAACTACAACATCTATAGCGTGTAGAAACGACATAGAAAGATCGGGAAATTTGGAGTACACTAAGACAGTCAGAGTCAGGGCGATCCGAAGCTGCATAGCCACACTTAGACCGATAGACTGCTGAAATTACAAGGTTTGCGATTCCTACTTTTGACGAGCTCCTTCGGTCGACGGATATACAGTTCGGTCGACCGAAATGTAAGACCCCCGTGATTTTGATATTCAATATGTGAAATTAGGAAACGCAATATTGAATATAATGATAAAATATCTTCATGGCATGGTTGCTACATGAAAACTAGTGTTTGAGTTTATGAAGGAGTGCAAATGCCCTCAGGTTATTGAGTTGAGTTGCAAATTTTGCAAATCGTTCAACAGAAATCGAAGAATGCCAGTCTTATCCATGAGTCGACCCATGACTATCATGAGTCGACTCACGACATCCGAGTCCTGTTGCCATTTTAGTCTTACTGAGTCCGACTCAGAATTAATGATCGACCCATAAATTTACCCATGAGTTGACTCATTGCTGGATTTTTGCTTTTCTCAGTTCGCGTCTGTGGCTTTCGGGTCCGGGTTCTATCTACTTACTATATATTCTCCTCACCCGAAAACACCCCATTTCATCAGCTAACCCCAGAGAAACCCTAGCCTCCCTCCCCCTCAAAAACCCTAGCTCGTTTTGGGTATTCTTGGCGCGATTTTTGGCCGATATTCAGCAGCTTTTTATGCATTGCAGCGAAGCGCGGAGTGCCTCTCATCACCATCTGAGGCGAGAACATCTCGCCCAATCCTATCCCAATGTTTTTAATAGTTTACAACATGCTTTTTCATGAGTTATTTGAGCCTAAGACTATTTTCAAATATTAAATCAATTTCTTATTAGGGTGAATGCTAGAAATCATGTGTTTCGGCTTTAAATCCTCACAATGAGTTTGAAGAAAACCCTAGATCTGAAATACCTTTTAAGCCGAATAAAAATATGAGTTTCTTTTTGATTAAATGCCTTTCTTTTGGTATGTTTAGGGGTGAATTGTTAGATTTTAACTTATAAAATCGTTTCTCACGCTAGATCGTGAATATTCTCACTGTTCATAGCTTAGAATGATAGCTATAGAGATGTGCATCAGTAAAATGAAGGATTGGATCCGACCTCTCCTGTTGACGAATTAGACTTGCCTGATGTATGAGATTTCAGCCCGTAAGTCGCACTCACTACTCATCATGAGTCGACTCATCAGGATGACGTCGCAACCCATGACTGTCATGAGTCGCACTCATGAAAGTACATTTTCCTGAGTATCTCAATTTCTGCCTGAGTCGACTCAAATCGCGATCATGAGTCGACCCATAAATGAGCACGAGTCGACTCATCACAGTATTTCCTGTTATCGTTTGTGTTTCTGTTAATCATATGCTGTATACCTAATACTATACATGTATTACATTGTCTATATATATGTTCGAGGGTACTGTTACTATTCTTGAATTGGGGTGTTGACTTGTATCGGATTATTAATTACAGTGATCTTGTTTTCATCGGTGGCATTGAAGTATGACCATTTGTGCCATTAGCGGTTAGATCAGCCACAGCAGGGCATGTACGGGAATGGGTAGCGCATATCTTCTGCACAATCCTCGTGTTGCCCCGACTATTAATCCATTTCAAGCTTCCTCCGTGCTTTGACCTATAATCCATAGCGAGTCCTCGAGTTGGACTATAATCCATTTCAAACATGTTGAGACTTTGCTAACTTGAGCGATGTTATGCAAGCAAGTTTGGAACACGACATATTGTACACGCATGCGGGCATGATAGCTGCCTAGGTCGTTACATGACACGCTATCTTGTAGCCTGTCGTTTTATCTTACATCTATCGGGTAGAGATGGGTATGTATGCTTTTCTTTATTGTTCTTGCTGACCAACTTCGGGTTTGGATGTAGGGATCTACAATTGGCAGATACCAACGGTATATACATGAGCGGTTTCATTAGCTTTGGATTATTTCGCTCGACGTACCTATGCTCGTGTTGTATTTCCCTAAGTACTAAAACCCTTAATGTTTGTGTAAATGATTTTATTTTATTATGTATTAACTGTATACAACACACACCGCAGCATATCCCTTGGGGTTGGTTTGTGCATGTTGCTCGCTAGCGCTTGCACGCTTATGTGCTCCCTCCCTCTTTCAGTAATAGCCAGGCAGCCTGGAGGAGTCGTAGGTTCGAGGGCGACCCTTACTAGTAGCTCTATTATCTTCTTTTTAGCATGTATTATTTTTGTACTCCACTTGAACATTTAGCCGCCTTGACAGCAGGTTTATGTTCTAGAATTTATAAAGGCTGTGTGCCTTATTTCCGCTATCACGGAACTATTGTACCTTGCAGACATGTGAGTCTCCAGATCTTTATGCATTTATTTCAGACTTTGACTAGCTACCTTCAGCTATTGATTGATGAGATGTATTAATTTGGAGTCCTATCATTTCATCAATCATTTTGTTGTTTAAAAATTTTTACTGCCTTCTGTCATACACCTCGTTGTTGATTCTACTAGAAGAGATAGTAAATTATGATGAGTGCAAAACATGTTATTGCACGGTGTGTAGTGCATGCGCAGGTTTTACATTTCTGCGTTCACCTCGGCGACTGCACCTTGTGTGAACACAGGGCGTCAACAGTTGGCGTATCAGCCTCTAGTTCTAGTATCCCTAGGATCATCCTTGGTCAAGTCGCTGGAGCTTAGGTAAGAGTTTTTAGCGATTCATGTGTAGAGTCGCTAAGGATTTCCTAGTATGAGTGAGGACGATATATGCGTATATCTAAAATTTTGAGAATTTTTTGTTATGACAACTATTTTTGCTGTAAAGTGTATGCGTGCAATATGAACGTAATGTGGAAAAATCATATTGTGATGTACTATGTATGAATCAGAATATACGTTCTACTTGACTCATGCAACTTTATGTTTCTTTCATGATACAGAGAGATGGCAGGACTGGCGAGACCTCGCACTCGAAGGCCCGCTCAGCCAGAGCCCAGCAGGCCCCCCTGCAAGCCGCAGCAGAACTCCACCC